GTTTACCCCCCAATCATGGTGACTAATAGTTAAGTTTACCCCCCCCCCCCCTAATTAGCTATTTAATGTGTACGTTATTCTTGATTTGTAACGTGAGCCACGTCTCAACGAAGGTCCACATTAATTTAGCATAATCAGTCTGTGAAAATGGTAGTAGTAGTAGTAGTAGTAACCATGACAACATCAGTCTGTGCAAATGGTGCTCTCGATCCACATCTAGTCTACAACAATTGTGGACAGAAGAATGGAATTAGTTTGAAATGTCTTTACATAAACCTTTACAGTTATTTGCGTTGTTAATCTCATTCCTTTAAATCGGCCAGTAATTTTTTCCTTTTCACCCTTTTGAAAAAAGGCAATAGTGAAAGGTTATGAATGGACGTTTTTGCAGAAAATCGTGGATTTTGGAGATTGCAGTAGGTGGGTTTGAACATGTCGTGGGTACTTCCGTATGTTACCATGCAACGAAAAAGTTGCGCGCGTGCGAGGATTGCTTGCGGAGATGTGATGTATAGGGATGATGATTAATCACTCTACACTCGACTGTCACGTGACTTTTTCAACCCGTTCTCTAGCTGGTCCTGTACGACTATTCGAAACCCTAACCCTCTAATCTGATCCCGACCCTAACCCTAACCCAATCCTCAGCAAGAGCATATGCTGAAACCCTAACCCTAACGAGAAATTAAACTAACTTCCTTATACGGTCATATCACGTGATCGAGACAGTTTTTCGCCAATATCTCGTCAGGGGAGCATTTTACCCTTATGTCATGGGGGGCGATTCGGAATCAACGTCCGAAAATACATCGATTGAAGTTGATTACAACTGTTGGGAGTCCTTTTAGAACAATCTCGAAGATCGACTGTAGAGTGATTTAGCACGCTCGGATGTATAGATAGCCTGTGATCTATGAATGCGCGGCGCAACTGTGTTTTACTGTATACGATGTAATGTATAATATTAGGTTATAAGCCCAATTTGTCCGTGGCACGCGTAGTATATCCACCAGCGGGCTATATTTTGTCATCTGAGCACTCGCAGCCCGATGTTACAAGACACAGTGCGCGTCCAGCCCGCTTAAAATACAGCACGCGAGCAGACGACACTTAACGTGACAAGTAAAAATACAGCCAATATAGCCCACATGAAATTTGTCCAGTAGCGATATATTTTTTTGTCCGGTAGGGCTGATGATACATCTCGTGAGCAGATGACATGAAATTTGAACACTGAACAGTGTTATTGATCCACACTTACACACTACACAGTACACTTTAATAGTTCCCACGGCAATATGTGGATGTAAAGAATGTATCAACTCTGAACTCTGAGCTGATCACCTTATATCACGCAGGTTGCCATGATTGGCTCATAATTAACACGTGACACACTGTTACTATGGTTACCAAATTCGTGGAGACGTTAAGTCTAAGCCGGTGATATTTTTCAGTATCGATAATTGTTTTGTGTTTACCATTTTCAGTTCACTATTTCAGTTGATAAACCTTGAAATTTAGGCCGACATTTTACGTGTTATTCTATTGTGTTCCCGAAAGATATTTTGCCCTGTTTTTGTTTTGAAACTGCCATTTAAATTGATGTTATAAATTTGATCTTTAACTTTCATATTCAATGTCCATGATCAGACTGTGATCTCGAGCTCTCTGGGTTACTACTTTTGATTGTCCAGTCACTCAGTAGCTGCTACAGAAACTCTAGTAACTGGTTACCCGGGTAACACTGGTTACCCTGGTAACTGATAATGACAACTCACGTGGTAGTAGCAGCTGCTCTGTGGCGACTGGCGGTGCTTGTTCTGGTTCCAGGGAGGGAGAGAGGTAGAGAAGTAGAGAGGGAGAGAAAGAGAGGGAGAGGAGGAGAGAGGGAGAGGAGGAGAGAGGGAGAGGAGGAGAGAGGGAGATGAGGAGAGAGGGAGATAAAGAGAGAGTGATAGAGGGAGAGAGGGAGGTAAGGAGAGTGGGAGAAGGAGAAAGGAAGATAGGGCGAGAGTGAGAGAGTGAGAGAGGGTGAGAAGGAGATAAGGAGATGAGGGAGAGAGGGAGAGAGGGCCTATATTTTGATCGTTTACAATAAAATTATATGTACATGAAACAATGAGCTGAAACATTGTTTGATAGCGGCCGGTTTTTCGTTCTATAGTCAGTCATTTTGGCCTGTTCTACATCTTAAACTAAAAGCAACATGATTTTCTCGTAAAATTTCTGAAATCTTGTACATTAATTTGCTGTGATTGTTGGAAACTGAAGCTTCGTGATAAACGCCCACTTGTGGATATATTACATTGTTGATATATTTGCATTTATAAAACTTAGTAAATGATCATCTAATTAGTGGCATTACAACTACACTTGAGAAGCGCCCGCTCATGGATATACACGATATCATTCCTCGCCATGAGGGCGGAACTATCGTATAGCACTCGGGCCCGTTGGGCCCTCCGTGCTATACGAAAATATCTCCGCCTCGGGCTGGCGCCCTCGTGGAGATATAAAATATTGCACGCGCACGCGCGTGCAATATTTAGTACTGCCCTCAAGGCTGCGGTGATATCTATATGTATTGATGTGTACACGAGTATAGTTTACCTTTGCTTACAATTTAAGTTATTTGCTTTACAAGTTAAGTTCTTTGGCAATTGGATTGAATTTCAAGTGTTTCCTGTACTTAATGCACAATTTATCAATATTATTATCATGAAGATTGAAGTGAGCTGATTGGAGCTTATATGTTATACTTAAGTTTATAGTAAATGTGAAATGGAAACCTAGCGTCCGCCAAAACGAAACAACGGGCGCAATTCTTGTTAAAAGAATATTTTAGGGATTACTTGCACCATATTTTTTTCTAAATATAACGATACTACCACTTCATAGTTCATATGGTAATCTAGTAACCTGGTAACCTGGTAACCTGGTAACCTGGTAACCTGATAACCTGGTAACCTGGTAACCTGGTAACCTGGTAACCTGGTAACCTGGTAACCTGGTAACCTGGTAACCTGGTAACCTGGTAACCTGGTAACCTGGTAACCTGGTAACCTGGTAACCTGGTAACTTGTTAACCTGGTAACCTGGTAACCTGGTAACCTGGTAACCTGGTAACCTGGTAACCTGGTAACCTGGTAACTTGTTAACCTGGTAACCTGGTAACCTGGTAACCTGGTAACTTGTTAACCTGGTAACCTGGTAACCTGGTAACTTGTTAACCTGGTAACCTGGTAACCTGGTAACCTGGTAACCTGGTAACCTGGTAACCTGATAACCTGGTAACTTGTTAACCTGGTAACCTGGTAACCTGGTAACCTGGTAACCTGGTAACTTGTTAACCTGGTAACCTGGTAACCTGACTAAATCGCTGGTCAGCAGTTTAGGATGTCTGATGCAGTGTCCCGCCATTTTTAATCTCCTGCTTCGTAACTTATAATATATAACTTGTAATATATAACAAAGAAAACCCTCATTCGCAATGAACACATTTATAATAAAACCTGAACACTCAGCAGGGAGTGTCAACAACTGCAGAGCTCCATCCCTGCTGGAGTTACCATAGTTATCATAGTTACCATAGTTACCATAGTTACCATATTTACCATATTTACCATATTTACCATAGTTACCATAGTTACCATAGTTACCATAGTTACCATAGTTACCATAGTTACCATAGTTACCATAGTTACCATATTTACCATAGTTACCATAGTTACCATAATTACCATAGTTACCATAGTTACCATAGTTACCATAGTTACCATAGTTACCATAGTTACCATAGTTACCATAGTTACCATAGTTACCATAGTTACCATAGTTACCATATTTACCATATTTACCATAGTTACCATAGTTACCATAGTTACCATAGTCACCATAGTTACCATAGTTACCATAGTTACCATAGTTACCATAGTTACCATAGTCACCATAGTTACCATAGTTACCATAGTTACCATAGTTACCATAGTTACCATAGTTACCATAGTTACCATAGTTACCATAGTTACCATAGTTACCATAGTTACCATAGTTACCATAGTTACCATAGTTACCATAGTTACCATAGTTACCATAGTTACCATAGTTACCTTAGTTACCATAGTTACCATAGTTACCATAGTTACCATAGTTACCATAGTTACCATTGTTACCATTGTTACCATAGTTACCATAGTTACCATAGTTACCATAGTTACCATAGTTACCACTACCACCTTATCTTTCTATTTTGCGAGAACTATTGTAAAGCTGAGTGCATTGCGTGATCGAGCAAAACTTTGCCGGCTGGGATGTCCTTATTTGGTCAAATTATACCGCTTGCTAGATCGCTTGCGGTTCTCTAGAACCCGCGGTGATCATTTTATTTCTGTATTTTATTACAGGTCAGTTTTTTCGCGACAGTGAAAGGTTATAATGGTCTTTAATAACCGGCCATTACGTGAACAACTCGTTCAATCAGAGGATGGATTATTTTGAGTGTTATTTTTGATCAATTGTCAGAATCATGAGACAGTTCTTACGTCAAATATAACGTTAAAGCTTTATTTTTCTCAACAGCTTTACTATTTTTATATCTATTGAAAGCAATTTTGAAAGATTTTATTTTTTGTTTGACTGCGCTACTATTTTTGAATTAAATTGCAAAAGGTTTTTATGGATGAAACTTTGCTTGTTGAAGCATTTTTATATTTGTTTAGGTATTTTTTATATTGCATATTGACGCGTAGTGGATGGTAATGGTTCAATTGGTTTCAAGCACAGGTCGCTCTCAAATCCAAAGATAAGCAGTGACCTTCGGTGCTTAAAGCCTCCACTAATTTATTTACCACTGATGTCGGTAGAGTTAGACTCTGCCGTAAAAAAAAATTGTTCTATCAACTAATTGTTTTTTAATTACTTTAAGGTCGGATATACTAGATTTAAATATATAATTGTTCTATCAAATAATTTTACTTACATATTTTTAACACACTAGTTAGAAGAACTTACAATGACATGAGTTACAAGAGCCTTGGTAACCTGGACAGTTTGGACATGAGTTCCAGTAACCTAGGTAACCCTGACCCTAACGAGGAGGTCCCTCCTCCCAGTCCTCCCCCACAATCTGGTTGCTTCACCTGTCTCGCCTGCAGCCTGGTCGGCAAGATAGACACGGAGCTGGCTGCTGTAAGACGGAGAATGTTCGTATCTTCTGAAGGGAGCTCCCCGGACCAAATGGATCCTCCTCCCCCGCGAGTGTTTACTTCAGAGACTTTAGATAGGAAGCTGCAGAGTCTGACCTCCAGTGAGCATTCCTCTGACACAGATAGTGAGGGTCCGTGTAATATCCAGGGTCTACTCAAGACCAGTGGAGGTGGTAGTAACCATGGCAACAGTGGAGGTAGTAGTAACCATGGCAACAGTGGAGGTGGTAGTAACCATGGCAACAGTGGAGGTGGATACCCCAGCAGGGATGGAGCACTGTCCGACTATCTGCCAGATGATCATGACGTGTTTTCTCCTGTCCTGGTCAGAGAGTCTCCCTCTATCGTCATTGAGTTTATTGATGATACGAGGCTCATGAAGGAGACAGTTGCGTCAGAAGGCTGTGAAATAAAGTCAAAGTCTTTGACCGATGACAACACACCATTAGAGGATATTGAAATAGTGGTTGATGATGTCGCAGAGATCCATTCACATGAAGTAGATGGTCAAGGTGATGTAAGTTTGCAAAATAATGATGAGTCGGAGGATCAGATAAAACAGTTGGAAGATTTTTTCAACGGTTCGGATGGATCAGGAGATATGGTGACTGATGAAATACTTCAAGAAATTGCGGTTTCCCTGGATGAGGAAAAAGATAAAACTATCTCATTGGACAGTGATTTGCTTCAGTACATTGAACAGCAACTTCACAGGAACAGAGACACGGAGACTCCGTCTCAAGATCCAACAGAACCGTCTGAGATCTCCGAGATTCCAGAACCAATTGAAACTGGGGTGATAGGGTTAGATGATGAGGCGAAAGGTTCGGATAATCAAGAGGAGGACGAGTATAAAGCATTTAGAGAGCGGGCTTCTGAGTTTCTTGTTAATGTCACGTGCACTTCTGTTGCTACGGAAACAAGACCATGTTCAACCATGGACGACTGTGGAACTGAGCAAATTCAAAGTGAAGTTTCAGATGGCAGTGTTGAAGAGGAACTCTTTGAAAGTTCAACTACATATTTTGATCAGGGCGTGGAAACAAGTCGATTGGAAAAAGGATTGTTCGATGATGAAATTGAAAATTGTGATGAAGTTGAAACTGAAATGGACTTACGAGATACTAGAAATTCTCAATCGCCTGATACCAAAATTGCTCGCGAACTAACAAATGTAGTTTTGTCGAACGTAACCCAAGAAGATAATATTAACCATAGTAACCAAAAAGATCTTGATTCAGCTGTCGAGTGTGCCCAGGTAGAATCAGACGAAGTTTTATGTAATTCAGCAGCTGATTCTTTAGCCCAGGTTTCAATTCATGAAGCTGCTAATATCGTTGTTTGCGAACCTATTGACTCTCCCATTCATGGTTCAACTGACGAAGCTGAATTTGATTCTCCGACAGAAGGAGATCCTTCTACTCAGATGATCACACAAAATGAAACATACGATTTATCAGGATTTGGTGAGCCTCTTGCAGACGAGATCTTGCAAAATGAAGCCGAGGAAGAGAATATGTTACCTGAATCACGACATCATCACCACGAACTTGACTCGGTGAACCCAAACAAAACTTCTGTCAAAATGGACATACAGAGCGACGTTACTGTTGATGATAGTCAGATAATGGTAGATGGATCACAGTACCTTACAACTGGTCACGATGAAATAGAACCTGAATTAATCTCCTCAGGTCCAATGTTCACCCCACCTGAAGAAGAAGAGAACTGTCCACTGCTGTCAAGTGAGGTAGTGGAGGTGAACGAGAAATGTAGAGAGTGGATCAACTCAACTTCCTCCTGTGATGAGATATTTCACAGTTTTGAAACGAAGACAGACCGTGAGGACCAGGTGGAGACTGATGGTCGAGACATATCCCTGGACATGTTACATGAGAGAGCGAGGAACCTGGGAATAACAATAGAATTGGCAGGAGGATGTGGAGGGCGCAATGAGGAGAAGATCCAGAGCCCATCGAACTTGAGGAGAAATACGAGCCAAAGAAATATTAGAGCAAACTCCCGAGACGGACTATCATTGATCCAACGATAGAAGAGACTCCAGATTTTAGAAGCATCCACCCTGCCAGCAGTATATCCGATGACCCCGCGGGGACTTACGATAACAGCTGATAATTTGTATCTGAAGTTGATGAGGAACAAACCAAGACTGAGCCTAGTCCAGTAATCCAGAGACACTGGAAACCCTCTGTGACTGGATGAGGACGACATGTCAGCGCCCTGAGGTCCCCGAGGTATCAGCGGTCTGACCAACCTCTGATCCTCCTAGGAGATCTGAACAAGACCCCCAACTTTGTGCTCCCTGCCATGGAGTTACTTCTCTGGACTGGCATTTCTAAAACTTTAAACGGAACAAAAGTCTAGAAACGATCACTCGAGTTCGGATCCTGGAACCCCGAGGCAGACTCCGGGTACGCACGTGCAGTGCTCCGACTCACGCCCTTAACATGAGCACGACCTCGGTAAGGAGGTGATGAGGGCCGTGTTTGGGATTGAGGCAGGCAGGCTTTAGATGTGGGGTTAATAGAAGCATTTAGAAGTTCTAGAAGTTCTAGAAGGTTCTAAAGGTTCTAGACGGTTCTGAGTAATTGAGCATGGCTGCGCGCATCATGTACTCTGTTTTTTAGGATAATGTGTCATCGTGTTGATTGAAAGGTTGAAAATCAGTAAAATTGACGATTGTACAAATCGTCCGATACAAGATGCTAATGATAATAAATTGAAAAGGTATACTTACCCTGTATCTAAGAGTTGGACGAAATCTTTCTATTGAACACATAGGCAATCACGCGTAATTTTTTCGGCTGGTTTTTTTAAATTTTCAATTCAACCAACGATGGCACAAATGCATTTAAAGTTAAACAATGATTTTTGGGTCACTTGTAGAACTTGGCTGTGACATTGAATGTTTGGCAGGATGATCACTTATCTGAGAAGTAACACGTGTAGAAGGTGTTTTACCTTTTAAAGTAGCAATAGAATATCATGCAGCCAGCAATGATTTATGTAGAAAATCATTTTAATTTGGATCTGATTCTTATGCCTGATTTCCCAAACCTAGCAATGAATATTTTGCCTACGTTGCTTGCACTTGTATAAAGTCTGTTGAAGCATTAGTACGGCGTTGCCTGCGACATGCTAACCACACCATACTAGAAAGCTTGCTTTAAAATTAATTACATAAGAACCTGATTCTTACGGATTCTTAATTATAATTACTAAGCTGCGAAGCGGAAACAACACGTTAGTATTTAAAGATTGCTTTAACTGCCGTGATTTGCCCGAAGTGACTTGTTTGAAAATCTATCAACTGCTGATTTGGAAATGTATTCTGGCTTCGTTTTTTTCTGCTGCTATACACACCGCAAGTTTTTTATTTATTCTGGTTTACCTCTGCATTCTAATTCTTGCCCAACATTTTTCGCTGATTTTGACTTTTGCTTCGATCTTATTTCTGCGCCCCTGTTATCTTTCCGACAGTGGATTTGAAAGTCTAATAATGCATAATATGGTGTAGTAACAGTTTGTTTTTACTCATTCGTTGAAGCTGATTTTAAAACTCCATCTAGAATATTATGCTGAATTTAACTGATCAAACTTTAAAACCTGTGTTTTTGGTTTAATCCACTGTTCTATTATATAGGACTATATTGCGTTATCACTTCATACAAAATATGGATGTCATATATTATGTAGGTGGTAAAAGTAATCTCTTTGGAATGGTTTACTGTGTCCAGCAATGCTGGTCAAATAACCGTCCTGATAAGGTAAATAAACACAAAAACACTTAAATAAAAAACAAAAAAGACGGTTTTTCCGAATTTTCTGATGGCTTATACCTTGCGTGAAAGAGTATGTCATCCAAGGGCGGTGGGTTTTCTCAAAATCATCAGAACTTAAACAACATGGTTATTAACCACGTACCATTATTAGACAGGACGTGTTAGTTGCAAGTACCGAGCAATAACACCTCTCCCATGTCATGATATTTATGCTTTATTTCCTCCAAGATATTACTAATTTTAGGAGCTTCTTTGAATTGGCTAGAACATTAAACAGGAGCCCCGGTTATATATTGACCGATATATTTTCAAGCATTAATTTATTTTTTTAGCTCAGTATTCTTGATAGCCTTTCTGGATGACTAAGTTCAAACACTGCTGATATAAATTATCTTAAAGCGGTGTCCATTAAATTTCAATTTATTATGATTATTATATAAGAAGAGTCCGTCTCAGAAGTTCTGAACTCACTATTAAGTATTGGAGCGTCTTAAAACTTGGTTTTAAAGGGAAATTATAGTTTTGTTGGAATTTAATCTTCATCCAGTTTTATTTTATTTGTTGCGGTATAATGGATTATAATTCAGACTTTCAAGTTTGGTGGGATAAACAAATGATATCAACAATGTAGAGTAAGATATAAATCGACTAATAGGTATATATTTAATAACACAAACCTGACTTAAAATGATTACTTTTTTAATTATTTGGATATTCAATATTATAAATAATAAATCAACGTTTACATGTCAGGCCATGGCAAAATTACAATGACATATTTTATATACTAATTGATAAATGGTACTGCAATATAAGTTTGCTTAATGTTTTGGCCGGATGAAAACTATAACTAAAAGAGAAAAAAAAAACTGATTTCACATAAATAATCAATTCGGCTGAACCAACACATAGCAAGAGCCACATTAATGTATGGGCCGTTCTAACAAAATTGAATGCAAACAATAACAAGAAATCAACATATCAGTAAATAATCATAAGCATTTTGTTTCTTACAATTCCGTCACAACTGACATATAGAAGAAAAAAAGAAGAAGACAAGCGGAGAGGATATTGGACGGACAGAATAGTAACCAACAAAAACACATTCTGAACTCATAAGAACTGATGAGCTAATCAGCCAGACTGTATCGGCAGCCCAGAGGTTACTTGATCGTTTTGGCCCTTAAAGTAGAAATCCGCTCTGACTGCCGATACATACTGTAGACTATTACCATTTCAGCATAAACAATGGAAGTAAGTTTTATATAACAATGGAAGTAATTTTTTTAAATACACTAATTACATATCTTAGTCGCAAAAGTCTTATGAAAGTCTTAAGGCAATCACCTTTCAAAGTCTTTCTCTAACTACGGTGTAGGCGAATGGAGTGTCTCGATCTTTAACTAACAGTTGGCCGTCAACGAATGGTGGAGGAAGTCCTGGGTCTGAAAACAATATCTTAAAACCAATTTAATAACGTAACGAATTGAAAACTACTTGTAAATTGGCAAACGTGTAAATATAGTTACAAAAATGAATGTCAAGTCTTGCTCTATGATACAACATTTATCAATTCATATGTCTGGTCTTCGACCTCCTTTCCGCATTCAACGCTTCAACTTAAGGGGGGGGTTCACCCTGATATTGTTGTGAAACTTGGTTTCGAGATAGCAGTTGACCACTAACTATAGACCTAGTGACCGAACTTTTGAGGGGGTCCCGGACCCAACCGCAAACGGTGCCCGCGGGGCCAGCCACGCCCTATTTTAGTTTTTCCCCCCTCCCCCCCCCCCAACCAAATTAGGCCCAATTTAGCCAAATACCCTGAACATGCCAAATCCAGATTTTAGGTAATCTACCTTGTAGGCTAGTGATTCCCTGAACTCGTATATGAATTTTCATCAAGATGGACAAAAAATGACTGAGTTATGAGCACAACCAAGGACCCTATTTGGGCATACGCACCAAATTTTGATCGAGTTTGGCCCATAAATTGGTCAAATATCCAATATTTTTGAATGAAACTACTTAATATGGAAGGTAGTCCTATACTACCACATAACTTTTATTTTATGCCACCCTTACCTACTTTATTTTATTCTTATGAATCATGTATATTGTAGGTGCATGACAGGCGCAATCTGAGCTGACCACAATTCCGAGTTTAAAGAACGGCCCTTTGTTTCCGAGGTTCGATTTTTAAGCCCCTCGTCACAACAGCTACAATCGCTTACTACTGGACGATCATAAAGACCAGGTCGCGTAAGCTTTTGTAGGCCCGACTGTACATTGAGCCAGTTACGCAATCGTTTAAATTAAGAATATTTACGCATATGTGAAACCACCTAGACAAGGGACCCAGTCTGTACCGAGGATGCACCGGAGGGGATTGGCACTCCTGGGTGCCACCTGACGGTCCTGGCCAATAGAGTGGACTTAGCTGTCACAACTGGAACTTTTTTTCGCTTGCTTGCAGTACACATAAGTATATCGTATCTCCTAAATGATTATATTTCCATAATACATGGGTAATTTTCACTTTGTGGGGTTCAAAAAGATAAGATACTAGCTAGGTGTGGACTGTCGTCCCCTTACCACCCTGTTTCACTTGCCTGGTGACGTATTTCCAGTCCTGGGGGTGACCAACTCCAGGTAGTGAACACCAGGTAGCCCGAAAACACAGCCGACTAGAGGGTACCAAGGCAGTGTGTTAATTCACATTTCGTTAGACACGGGGTCTTCAGTTACTCTCCATCAGTGTTGTAATATGATTTAGCGTGTTCTTAGATCCTCCTATACTGTTACACTCCACCTGGGATTAGGATAATTATTATTATAAAGGACTCCATTTTCCCAAATTGGAATATATATCTACTACTCTATGCAGACGTTGTAACTGAACTAACCGTCTCGGCTGACGAAGGAGAATCAATTATTCTTGGCGCCCGATCAAGCTGGTACCGACAATAGCAAGTAACAACACGGTATTAGCAGGAATCCTCGTAGATATGTGACATTAATTGAGAATAAGGAACTACGATGTTGTACGTCACAACATGGCCTGATGACGTCACAACATGGCCTGATGACGTCACAACATGGCCTGATGACGTCACAACATAGCTCACTGTACAACTCCTCGTAGATATGTGACATTAATTGAGAATAAGGAACTACGATGTTGTACGTCACAACATGGCCTGATGACGTCACAACATGGCCTGGTGACGTCACAACATAGCTCACTGTACAACTCCTCGTAGATATGTGACATTAATTGAGAATAAGGAACTACGATGTTCAACTATAGACTGAAGGATATCTGTAAATCCAAACTCTTAAAGAGTCTAAATTGCTCATAGAGGCTTGTGAGTCAGTACTACTCTACGGATCAGAAACCTGGACACTGACAAAGGCTCAAGAGAAACGTTTGGACGGGACATACACAAAGATGCTGCGTATGGTGCTGGGTATCTCATGGAAGGACAAGGTCTGTCAAACAAGTTAGGAAACTGGAAATTAAAATTGGTGGGACACTGCATCAGACGTCCTGAGCTACTTATCGGTGATTTGGTCTTATGGGAACCTATGCATGATAGAGAACAGCAAGGCCGACCAATACAAAGCTACTTGTATATGTCACTGAAGGATGTTCATGGGACTAACTCTAAAGAGGAACTGCGAACCCTGATACGGGACAAGGATATATGGAGGGGGTTGTCTGAAGTAGATCGGACTTTGTTCCGACATAATATGTATATATATACCACTAAACTACAGAAAGTCCTCAAGAAACTACACACCGACAAGAAGATCACGACCGACCTATACCACAAGATGCGCAACCTACATCCTAGATGGCCTCAACTTTACAGACAACCTAAGATACACAAACCCGGCGCACCTATCCGTCCCGTAGTAAGCTTCTACAACACCCCCCTACAAGCCCTCCACAAAGTCCTCGCTTCTTTTCTCAAACCCCTAGCCCAGAACCCCTTACGCCTCAAAGACTCTTCCGACTTCAAACACCGCTTCGACTCCTCTCTCAATCCATCCTTCCACTACCACGCCTCCTTAGACGTCCAATCCTTGTACACCTCCTGTGACATGCGCCTAGTAGCCCTCAAAACTGTCATCTCCTCCTTTGAACAGAACCCCTCTCGTCTTCCCCTCAATGTCACCACCACCACCATAGGCTCCCTTATCAACTTTTGCCTTGACAACTCATACCTTGAATTCAACTGCTCCTTCTACTCCCAAGACGAAGGTGGTACAATGGGATCCCCCCTCATTGTTGAACTAGCTGAAATCCGCCTTGCTGAAATCGAGACCTTAGATTTATCCTCATGTCCTGACCCTCCGAACACTTACTCCCATTTTTTTGACGACGGCCTTGGATCTTTCAGAGACAGAAACCACGCAGAATCCTTCCTTACATTCCTTAACTCCCTTAGCTGAAGACCTCAACTTTACCCAAGAACATCCCTCTACAGACGGAACTATACCCTTCCTTGACGTTCTCATCCACCCTGACAAATCCACATCAGTCTACAGAAAACCCACCCACACCAACCTCTACACCAAGTACTCCTCCTGCACCACCAACTCATCTAAGAACGCAGTCATCCGATCACTGACCAGAAGAGCCCACAACATCTGCTCACCCCAACACCTTGACGACGAATTCCAGACAGTACGACACGTTTGCCTCCAGAACGGCTTCCCTCCTCACCGCATCACTACCATCATGGACGAAGTACAACGGAAATTCACCAACCCCTCTCGCCACTAATCCCTAGCCTCATTCAACTGACAGACCCGTGAACATGCCCTTAGTGTTTCTCTTCCTTTCCATCCCTCCCTATCGAAACCCATCTCCAAGATACTCGGACAACACGACATCAAAGTCACCCACTCCTCTGCTACCTCCCTCCGCAACCTCCTCACCAAAACGAAGACCACACCCCCTACTCACCTCACTCCCAACACCATCTACGAAATTTCCTGCTCACAGTGTCCCTCCAAATACGCCGGACAGACCTACAGACCCTTGGTCCACCGCATGAAAGAACACGAACGATGTTACAGACTCAACAACGCCATCGACGAATCCACAGACAGAATCAAATCAGCCCCTGCACATCATGCCCTGACCACCGGCCACACCATCTCCTGGAACAACATCGAAGTCCTCAAATCCCTCACCTCACGCTCCCAACTTGACCTCACAGAACATGCAGCTATACAAATACGACAACCAGCCATGAACAGAACAGACCGCGCACCCAAATGTAGTTCTCTCTGGGACCCCATTCTTCCTAAAATTGCCAAATCCTTAAAGTCCAGACCATCTGGCATTTCCTTCTCAACCTCAACAGAAGACTAAATTTTTATTGACATTGTACTGTAATTTTCACTTTCTCACCCACACCCCTCCCACCCTCCATCCCTGACGCCACTCAATCACATATAAGCATTGTCCACCACATCACATTCAGCTGACGACGATTAACACATGTTTATTGAAAGCTTCTACAAGTTAAATCATCGTATCTCTTATATGTTTCTAACCCAACTCCACTCAATTGTATATAATATATATTTATATATGGGTTAATAAGACCTGCATAAGCCAGGGTAACGGCCCATAGCAGGGTAACCAGGATGGCCCAGTAGCCAAAAACTTGATTAACTAGCAAAGATAAAAAGGTAACAATAGGTAATAAATAGCTAACAATACTATACCAGTATTTAAGATGCATAGTCCAGAAAGATCAAACTGGGTTGCCCCTTAGTCTTAGTTAGTCTTAGTTAGTCTTTTGAGAGAATCCATAGATGACTGCCGTATTCTTCTCTCTGTTTCCTTTCTTCTATGTGTTGTTGTAACCTAACTGTAACGTGGAGTTAAAGAAATGTCTTGTATGGTATACTATGGTCCTGAGAGGTAACACGTTAAAAGATTATCTTAAAGGGCGGTAGAGGTCAATGTAACAAATAGTACAGCAAGACAAAGGGAGCTTCATTACACGCTCTGAAGAAGGGGAGGGGAGTTCCGACATAGTAGTAGTAGTACTCTTATTATTCCTAGATCTAACATGCTGAGATTAATAGAAAAAGTAATCTACCTCTAGAACGAACCTAACACGCATGATGGTTTTAGGAATGGTCATCTAGTTTAGGAGGAATCTTATCAACAAAACTGCAACATGTATTCGTGTCTGGTTGAACCTGGATAGAAATTACTTATTACTAGCTGCATTGATTTAGATGAATGGAGGAAACTGGAATAGACAATTGAAAACAATATTATTATAAATTCACCTGCATAAGCCAGGGGAACGGCCCATAGCAGGCTAACCAGGATGGCCCAGTACCCAAAAACCTGATTAACTAGCACGGATAAAAAGGTAACAATAGGTAAAAATAGATAACAATACTATACCAGTATAAAATGTATAGTTTAGAAAGATCAAACTGGGTTGCCCCTTCTGTTAGTCTTTTGAAAGAGTCCATAGATGACTGCCGTATTCTTCTCTCTGTTTCCTTTCTTCTATGTGTTGTTGTAACCTAACTGTAACGAGGAGTTAAAGAAATGTATTGTATGGTATACTATGGTCCTCAGAGGTAACAAGTTAAAAGATTATCTTAAAGGGCTGTAGAGGTCAATGTAACAAATAGTAGAGCAAGACAAAGGGAGCTTCCTTACACGCTCTGAAGAAGGGGAGGGGAGTTCCGACATAGTAGTAGTAGTACTCTTATTATTCCTAGATCTAACATGCTGAGATTAATAGAAAAAGTAATCTACCTCTAGAACGAACCTAACACGCATGATGGTTTTAGGAATGGTCATCTAGTTTAGGAGGAATCTTATCAACAAAACTGCAACATGTATTCGTGTCTGGTTGAACCTGGATAGAAATTACTTATTACTAGCTGCATTGATTTAGATGAATGGAGGAAACTGGAATAGACAATTGAAAACAATATTATTATAAATTCACCTGCATAAGCCAGGGGAACGGCCCATAGCAGGCTAACCAGGATGGCCCAGTACCCAAAAACCTGATTAACTAGCACGGATAAAAAGGTAACAATAGGTAAAAATAGATAACAATACTATACCAGTATAAGATGCATAGTTCAGGAAGATCAAACTGGGTTGTTCCTTCTGTTAGTCTTTTGAGAGAATCCATAGATGACTGCCGTATTCTTCTCTCTGTTTCCTTTCTTCTATGTGTTGTTGTAACCTAACTGTAACGAGGAGTTAAAGAAATGTCTTGTAAGGTATACTATGGTCCTGAGAGGTAACAAATTAAAAGATTATCTTAAAGGGCTGTAGAGGTCAATGTAACAAATAGTAGAGCAAAACAAAGGGAGCTTCATTACACGCTCTGAAGAAGGGGAGGGGAGTTCCGACATAGTAGTAGTATAAGTAGTACTCTTATTATTCTTAGATCTAACATGCCGAGATTAATAGAAAAGTAATTTACCTCTAGAACGAACCTAACACGCATGATGGTCTTAGGAATGGTCATCTAGTTTAGGAGGAATCTTATCAACAAAACTGCAACATGTATTCGTGTCTGGTTGAACCTGGATAGAAATTACTTATTACTAGCTGCGTTGATTTAGATGAATGGAGGAAGCTGGAATAGACAATCGAAAACAATATTATTATAAAATCACGTCTGAACTCTTAATTTAGAAGCAAGACAGCTAAATTAAACGCTCACATCAAATTAAGAAAAGGAACTTACTGGATTACTACTATTAGCAAGCTTATCGAAACATAGCGTAGCTGGTCGAAACCGGCCTACTGGCCCCTGAGTACTGGAACAACCCTATCGGCTGTGCTGGCTTAGATTGCTCTATCTTCCGATCGTCATCCCCATATATCGTCTCCGAATCTCACAGAGTCCTGTGTCTGCTGCTCATTATCTTTAAACTCTGCCGCTCATTATCCATTCTTACGATCCATAGACCACCGTCTGAGACTGTGATTGGCCGATCTGCTATCAGGTGTTCTTCTGTGGTGTTCTGATTAGACACCTTTATGGAATGTCATCAACCTTGTCGAACTATCCCTTGGTTGAACACAAAAAGCTTCATTTGTTAATTAAACGTAAGCTTCTTCTATAATTCGGATACACTTCTTATATAAATAATCTGCTAAACTTTAGGAGATGTATCTTACACATAAAATCATTCAAGCACAGTCAATGACTGGAAATTTTTAGTAATTTTCATTACACCAAATAAACAAAATGCCTTTATGCAATTCATGTATGAACAACGAATCTCAAACCACTAAAATTACTCCTTTTTACTAAAATAGCCAATTTTAAATATTACCGTGGCAGGAGGATATACAGGATGGAACTTAAAATTATTTTATTTTTAATTGAACCTTATGAGCAACGGATATAGAACTTTCCTGTTTTCAGCACATCAAATTGAATTGAATGTGGTTTAGCTTAAGCAAGGGTCCAATTGTTATCTAAGAAAAACTTAGTTAATTTGTTCTCGATAAACAATGTTATTTTGTAATTTTACAAAAATAAAACAACGAATTCCAAAAAAAATGATCATCGATAAATACGTAGTTTAAATATTTAAAGCCGATGAAAAGTAAGCAAATAAACTAAAACAGCTCCATCTAAATAGTGGTCCTGTTAGTGTTAGACTTTCTGTCGTGCACTCTTAAGTATTTCGAGGAATAAAGAATGTAAAACTTAATTAGTAAGACATTCAATTAACATAGTTTAACTCATCATTAGAGCATTAGTATTTAGTCTTGATATCAGTTTAATAAGTTGGTCAGGGACCGGCCTGATGTACCAGCAAATGTTTACCTACAAATATATATAATGATTATTATCTATTAAAAGTCAAAAACTCACACAAGATTAGATATTGTTGAAACTATCAAAATGTAGCTTATTTTAAAAAAACATAGCTGAGCACAGTTAAAGTTGCCTTTAGGATTGTAAAGCAGTCTTGATACCAGTTTAATTGGCATTCTGTCATGATGAAAGGTACAACTCTTCAAAAATGAATAAATCATAATTCAGAGCCCCATTATAGAATAAAACATAGCAGATGATAATATTATAAACCCCTCCAGGTTAGAATAAGATTATGATTATCCCGGCTCCCGCTGTGAGTTTTGATGACGTGTATCACGTGACTACTACGACGCGCATTGGTAAAAAATTTCTCGTGATCACCTATGGCTTAACGTAAGAACTATAAATACACTTGATCTACGTATCGGTTTAATTGCAGGCGCTGGCAAAATTCCAGCACACTGCTTACATAATTACGTGTACTCTTACATTACTTGGACCAGTTCCAGAATTTGTCTCGACGGTTACATTTGTCCGGTTAATTTTGTCGTAGCAAAATTGCCCTGTTTGATATAAGCCATGTATTATAGTCGTCTACTTTGATGAACTTCATGAAACGATATCATTATTAGCTCCACCTTTTATCGCTTGCCAGGCTTAACTCGACGCCCCTTATCAATATTCATTCAACGTTCTGACTGAGGAATAATGTTTAAATAGAACGCCAATTTCAAATGTCGTAGTATACCTTAGTTTTATATATTTAGTAGTATAATATACTCCCCAATTCCATTTCATATTTTCCATACTGATCTCATATAGCTAGAATTAAGAGTAAAATGTCAAATTTGTTGATCCTAGCACTAATCCGGAGGGGTTTATAACACATAACACCGGCACGCTTCAGTTATATTAAAATAACCCCTCGTGCTGAAGGCAAAGCACATCGGGGTTATTTTCACAATAATCCCTCGTGCTTCGCTCTCGAAATTATTATCAATTTTTCCGGCCGCACGTCGCGGGAAAAATTGAAATTCAATCCCTGCGCATGCCGGGATTGATCTTCTATCTTCTAACATGTACGACTACGAGTTACAGTATCAATTATCATAGAGTAAACACTTCACCGATTTTCTGTCTCAGCTAATACTTGATTTGAAAGTTCCCGATCCTCTTGTACTCTTATATGTTCCATCTGTATGACATCTAGATCATTGTTCCCGCTCTGTATGTCTTCACTCCTTGACTGAATGAATCTTGCAACGGAAGACATAACTGCAGAGATACTTAACCTGATAAGTCTTTTTACCTCCCCCAACTTTCTGCCTAGGAACTCTGCTAATGTTTTTTCGTATATCAGCGGGTTGATAACAGAGTTAAGTGGAAGAGCTATCATCGCATACGTCACATACCAGTCAGTAGCATCGAAAAATTCAAGATTATGCATACCGCTTATAACAATGAATGGTACCCAGCAAAGGAAATCAGTCGCAACAATAAGAGTAATTTTATTCTGTATAGACCTATTTTCCCTAACTCTTTCTGGGTTATGACGCTGTCCTGATCTCCGTGAAGAAATCCTTGTCTGGATATAAATAACTATGTAGCAAACAGAAATGATGATGAAGCAGACTAAGTTCACACCAAGCATAAGCCAAACTACTGGATCTCCTTTTTGATCAGTTATGTCTGCTATATTTTGTATCGTTTGTCTGATTCTTCTTGCATCGTCACTCCGAACAAAGTACTTGAATAAGCAAACACCGTCATTACCATAGAAATGAACTGGACGTCTACTCAAAAGTCCATGTTGCTGAGTGAACATACCGTCCACCTTATCACTGATTTGTTTCCAGGTTAAATCCATAGTGATGTTACTGTTAGTGGTATTGTAATGTGCTTGAAGAACTTTAACATGTTTCTCTTTGTTGGGGAAGCCAATGAACACTTTGTAGGCGGGGTCATAGTACATTCCTTGTACAAAATATTCCTCTAATGAAGGCATTAATGGTGTAACAGCTATAGCTAGTGAAGCAGTGATAATACCCGTTACCAAGAAACCAACCTTGATGACGGAATTTCTGTTAACAGGGCGTGGAATACTCATTTTCTTGAAAGTGAGCTTGTGCATTCTTATGATACTCAAGGATGCCATTGCAAAAAGGGACAGTTGTGATCCAACTGTGCTGATGACCCCTAATATGGAGCATGCTGTTCCGGTGTACCATTCGGGTTGATGTCTGCAAAACCCGTTCCCATATACAAAACTATCATAGAAAGACAACATAATCAAGTATAATCCAATAAATAGATCCCCTGATCCGATAAGACTGACCATTGCCTTATTAGTTAACATACTTCTAGTCCCACTATCCTGAAGAGTTTTCAGCCCACAGAATACGGTGTACGAGTTGAAGATCAATGCTAGTACACCCATGACCCAGCACAATACTTGCAGTATCCAGTTTTTAAGTATTCTTTTCTCACAAGTGCTATTGCATTCGTCTGAAAGGTCAAAGCAATCATACATACCATCACATACCTGTGATAAGGGAATAAACTGATGTTTAGTTGAGTTTAACGTGTTTTCACATATCATACTATTTGAACAGGGTAACTCGTCACTCATGTCCCCGCAATCATTTACGAGATCGCACACTTGCTTGTATTCAATACATTGACTATTATTGCATTGGAAATAGTCCTGGTGAAATTGGCCTTCTTTCGATTTTGTAACAAACGTTAGAAAAGAGTTGTTAGCAAGCGTATATACTCGGTCAGGATATTGTCCAGGACATGAATTGTACAACAATGTTCTGTTTTTATTTAGAGGACATGGGGCATCTGAACATAGATCCATGCAACTGAGAAACAGGTAATATTCACCAAACAAATATCTGCAATTAACCTTTGAGGTCGGAACGATTAACTCTGACTTTGTAATTCCGAATACATCAATCCTGGGTAGTATGAATTCTTTTACTTCACAGTTGGAGTCACTGCATACATTTCGCAATCCTCCGTGATAAAAAGCGGTCTTATTGATCGTTGGGATCAAATCTCTAGCGATCCTACAAACCCCATTCTCTGCACCGTCACCACACGTCTCCACTCCATCACAAAGTTGTTCGAATTGAACGTATGGTTTATCACCTTTTAGACACAGATAGACGTTATCGCAAGTTGATCACTTTCTTTAAAACGAGAGGTTATAGTTTGATTGTCACAGAAATAAAAATCCTCAGCCTGTTCATCTAACCCGTCCATACAATCCAACTGATTGTCCATTATCCAAGAAACTGGTATTCCGAACATATTTATTTCTAAGTTAAACCTACGGACACATTGAAATTCCTTCGTCATGTATTCACACATGTCATGAAGTTCGTCACTTCCATCAGTACAATCCCACACTCCGTCACACATCCTGTGTTTGTGTAGTCTGCAATCAGTGGAAGTAGACGGTGATATACAACTGTTTTGAATGTCATCGTCACATAACTTTACTGGTAACCTAGCCCATTCATCATATTCATAACACTCCATTTGCTTAGAAACACTCGACAAATACCCATTAATATGACAATACCCCCCTACTCGCTCTATATCAGAACAGTTAGTCTGATCTAGATAGTTGAGACAGTATGGAAAGATTTGCTTCTGTATATCAAATACTGGGCACCTAGTATAGTTCAATATAGGTACTGTTCTAATCTTGTTATACCACACTTTACGTTGGTAGTGTGTACACGTGTGTGGGGTAGTTTCAGTTACTTTACAGTCCTGTTCATCCTCTTCTTTAGCACAGTAATTGTATCCGTTACATATACTATGTACAGGAACATACTCCTTCTTCCCCTCATATGTGCAGTTAAATCCGTATTTATACCCGTTACAATCACTTTCATCTATACACTTGTCAGTGTCTTCACATTTATCATTACAGAGACTAGTTCCAGTGTACTGTTGTGGGTCATGCTTTACAGAACAAACATTATCTACACTACAGTTCTTATCACATCTCTTATATGTGTTATTGCAAAACAAGCCTCCACACAGCACATCCGTGTTTGTTATTTCTGTGTTGAACCCACATGCCTGATACACGTGGGAATCGTTTTCACACACTGAAGTGACCCTGTCAAACCGAGATATTATATCATCACTAAAATCTTCATTTTCAAAGTACACATCAGAGTGGGTACACTTGAAGTTGTATCGTTTTTTCTCTTCATTGAAATACACATTTTTCAGAAACCCGCCTACTGTTGTTACTGTACAATTTTCTCCTGATTTTCTCAGTTCGCTTACTATACTGTAGTTTACACAGTTAGAACAAGAGCAGTACCTAGCCGTGTTACCACACATACCACCCCACCTGTAACTACAACACGGGTTCTCCCCATCAGGGTTACACTCAGCAGGACTGTTATCAGGGAGGGGATACCTACTACCACATCCACCGTCATACCTCCACTTTATCTTACCTCCTGATTCTCTCCAGTCCCTATATATAACACTGTAGTCTATACAGTAATAACAAGAGCAGTGATCAGCCGTGTTACCACACCGCCACTGACTACAACACGGGTTCTCCCCATCAGGGTCACACTGAGCAGGACTGTTATCAGGGAGGGGATACTGAATACCACATCTACCGTCAGATCTCCACTTTCTCTTACCTCCTGATTCTCTCCAGTCCCTATATATAACACTGTAGTCTACACAGTCAGTACAAGAGCAGTGATTAGTCGTGTTACTACACACACCACGCAACCAGTCACTACAACACGGGTACTCCCCGTCAGGGTCACACTGAGCAGGACTGTTATCAGGGAGGCGATAATCTCTACCACATTTACCGTCAGATCTCCACTTTCTCTTACCTCCTGATAGAGTGAAGTATTGTACACTTAGTACTATTTGTATTGTTTATATTGTCAACATATGTATTGACGTATAACTCATTTAATCATTGTGACTAATTTGTTCTCATATAATGTCGGTGTAGGGGGAAATTCAAACAAACCACTATCAGTAGTTAACATGGTTACACCACTGCTACTAGTTACCATGGTTACACCACTGCTACTAGTTACCATGGTTACACCACTGCTACTAGTTACCATGGTTACACCACTGCTACTAGTTACCATGGTAACACCACTGCTAATAGTTACCATGGTTACACCACTGCTACTAGTTACCATGGGTAAACCACTGCTACTAGTTATTATGGTTACACCACTGCTACTAGTTACCATGGTTACACCACTGCTACTAGTTACCATGGGTAAACCACTATCACCTTGTTTAAAAATTTTGATCGGTTTAAAGGACCAGTTAACTGAAAAAAAAGTTATCCTCATATTTTGACAGATTGTGACAAATAGCAAACTAAGCAACGAATCGAAATTCCTAAATCTCTAACTGCTCTCTAACGCGTGTAAATAGCGTTTGTATTATTTTGGCGATGACGTCATAAAGTCCCTTGCGCGCGCAGAGGAGCTCGTGACACTGTATTTTACAGGTAGAAAATGGACATAATACAATGTTTTTCCCCGAATAACTCGAAAAGTAAGTAATTTAGGGTACATGTTGCTTCATAAGTTGTATATAAACATGGCCATTCTGCACAATTTGCATACATCCAAAAACCTTTAGGGCCTTCATAGCCCAATTTACCAGATACCCATAGTTTTGCATGATTTCTGGAACCGAAAATCAGTTTTTGGCCAATAACTGAAAAAGTAAGCACTTTAAGGCATATGTTTGTTCGTAAGTCATATATTAATATGCTAATTGCGGTTCTTTTGCACCCTGTCTAAAGACTCTATCACGATCTTATCGAAAATGGGCTCAGCACCACGCCCAAAATGGTTTTTGGCGAATTTCTCGAAAAGTAAGGATTTTAGGCCATGTGTTGCTCAATAACTCTATATAAACATGCATATGCGGCTTCGTTTAAGCCTATTTTGAAGTCTCTACGACCTTCAGAAGCAAGGGGTCGGTTAAGTTATTGGGTCAATATGGGCGTGGCCCTCCTGGGTTTTCTCCACGGTCAAAAAAATATCTCCAAACGAAAATCGTTTATTCATACCTTCGGGAAGGTCTGTGCAAAGTTTCGTGAGTATCTGAACATTTGCGGGTTCATTTCCATAAATGTCCATAAATGACTGGACTACACAACTTTAGAGTTAACTTTAGAGAAACTCATAAGTCATTTATCTCAAATTAAGCTGTTAGTGTCCATGATCAACCTATGGCGACAATGTTTTACGTGAAATGTAAAAATCAGGAGTAATATAAAAAGTGTATTTTCAGATTAAAGTGCTAGCTCATAGTTTTAGAATTGTATAGATTAACGTTGGTCGTTTAGCCATCTAACAATCGATCGTGCCGTAATATATGGCCAAAGAATAATAGGGTCTTGGAAATTCTATAGTTGTTCAGTGGGTCGATTGACTGAACACGTTTGCACTTGGTATTTAAACTTACCAGTAGTTTATTTATGTTATGTACCGATGATAATGCAATTAGGATAACAACTAGGTAGGCCGTAAGTCTAATTCAAAACACACCGCACACGCGTACACTCCAATCAGTATTACTATTTGGTAGACCGGGTATTTTGGCGGGAATTCTGTTCCCATGGCACTGTTCTGATAGAAGCTACTTCTACTAATGGTCCCAGAGGAACGGCCGTAAAGTAGCCAGACTTCTTGTCTCCTATACTGGCTGACACATGCCATGCGGACTAAAGTTAGAAATTTCGCTATGCTATAAATATATAATTGCCCTCGGAATTGAACAAACTCCTATTTATCTAGATCCTTTCTAAATTCGTTAGAGTTTCATGGACTGGGGAAAAATAATCGGTACAGTCTCCCTGCTTGTGTAACTAGCAATAAAAACAATCCAAAATTATCACATATGACATATAAGTTGTAATAGCAGAAACTTTCTAACCGTACATTCACCCGCCACTGTTCAAGAACCTATATCACTGTTTAAAATCATGACGTGAGCACTGTACATCAAATCAGCTATTCCTTTAGTTAGGATGATAGCCAAAACTATAAGGATTTTGGAGAACTAGGGAAATAGTCATAATTCTAAAATTTGAGTGAGTTACAGGTGTTTTATTGACAACGATAAACATTTGCAACGTATATTACGCTATGCCAGCGCGCACTGAGGGACTTTATGACGTCACGACAGAGGCACATATTAGGTGCGGTAAAAAAATCGAAATTATGCGGTACCGCACCCGACTATAAAGGTAAAATGTGCGGTAAGGTGCGGTAAGGTGCGGTAAATTTTTACCAATTATGCGGCAAATGTGCGGCGATTTTTTCGGGAATTGTGCAGTTTTCTTTTGCATTTTCTCAAGGACTTTGGAAATTCTAAACGTATAACCGCCGCTCTTATCAAAAATAGGTCTGTTTATGTGTTACTGAGGGTGTAGTTCTTTACTAAGACCATGATTGAACCTAATATTGAGATTCAGTTATCTGAGAACAGTGACTTGATCTGGTAGAGATCAGGAGACAGTTATTTGAAGACACCTCTTGATAGAGTCGATCAGATCCCATGCAGGTATCTTCTGTTTCTTGTGTGGTGAGTTTGATGATGGGTCACTGTCTGTACCTGTTCGTTTCTTTAGGAAACGGTCCATGACGTTGTGATGTGATAATGATATAGAGTAATCAGATGATGTGGTGAAGTTACGAATGATAACTGATACACTATAATCGAAGTACGGTAACGACGAGGGTTCCATAACGGCCTGGGTCACGGTCCCGAAAGGGCCTGGGTCAGGGTCCCGAAAGGGCCTGGGTAACGGTCCCGAAAGGGCCTGGGTCACGGTCCCGAAAGGGCCTCGGTCACGTGGCCTAAGCATGAGTTCCAAAAGGGCCTGGGTCAGGGTCCCGAAAGGGCCTGGGTAACGGTCCCGAAAGGGCCTGGGTCACGGTCCCGAAAGGGCCTCAGTCACGTGGCCTAAGCATGAGTTCCAAAAGGGCCTGGGTCACGGTCCCGAAAGGGCCTGGGTCAGGGTCCCGAAAGGGCCTGGGTAACGGTCCCGAAAGGGCCTGGGTCACGGTCCCGAAAGGGCCTCGGTCACGTGGTAACCGGGTCACGTGGCCTAAGTATGAGTTCCAAAAGGGCCTGAGTCACGGTCCCGAAAGGGCCTGGGTCAGGGTCCCGAAAGGGCCTGGGTCAGGGTCCCGAAAGGTCCTGAGTCACGTGGTAACTGGGTCACGTGGCCTAGGTATGAGTTCCAAAAGGGCCTGGGTCACGGTCCCGAAAGGGCCTGGGTCAGGGTCCCGAAAGGGCCTGAGTCACTATAAAAGGGCCCGACTTTTAACATATTTTGGTTTTTACACTCGAAAATCTTAACGCGAAAATTTCAAAATTATGCGAAATTACGCGGAAAATGCTAGATTATGCGGAAATATGCAGATAATTACAAAATGTGCGGAAATGTGCGGAAAACAATAAATTATGCGGAAGTGTGCGGAAAACGGTAAATTGTGCGATCCCGCACCCATCGCACCTAATATGTGCCCATGCGTCACGAGGCCACAGCTTATTATTGCAATAACACGCGTTACACGTACGCTAGAGAGTTGGTTCTTTCGGCGATACGATTCTTTACCGGTTTGTCACAGCTGATTTAAATCTTAGCCAAATTGGAGACTACAAATTTTTCAGTTAACTGGTCCTTTAAATGGCAGTTTCAAATAGATTATTTTCATACAATCTTGTTAACCTGCTTTGAAATACTTTCAATAAAAATAATCTAATCAAATTATGAAATAATTTTGATCTAACAATTGATATCAGTACATCAGTACAGCCGTGGCCGATAACACTTGATCGAGCATGGAAGTGAAAGAACATAATATTGCTAACCAATAATTTGTCTTTTGTGGCGATCACTACCGAAGTCTTTCACAGCTCTGGGTGCAGTTCCGTTTTCTGAAACATGAATGATCAACAACTGCGTGTATAAATACGGATTTACAAGGGCGTAGCCAGGACTTTTGATAGGGGGAGGAGCTCTATCTTAATCAGAATCAATCTGGAGACAGTCATTTCAAGCTTAAGTGTACAAATTAGCAGTAGGCTGGTTCTGATGTTCAATTACATTACTAGTGTATAACCCGTGCCTACAGCCGGGACTACAATATCACAGTTGAAATTCAAAGGTATAAAATCGCCTATTATATTCGGAAACACGCAATACAATTTCGTAGTTAAAACGGTGCGAAAGTACAAACTCGCTCAGTCCAAGCACACCGCAATTTAGTGCCCTTCGCGTCTCTCTATATCTAAAAGTAATACTTGATAGTAATCTTGAGTCAACTGTCAAATTAACCTAATCATATTGCAAATCTGTTATGAAGGGGAGAGAGAACGAGAATGGGAGAAAGTAAAGTGAGACACTTTAGAAACACCTTTGCGTCACAAAATGATCAATTATACATTAAACCACTTACCACCGACCCGAATTTTGAAAAATCTTGTTTAAATTACTCCTCCAGATCCAGTCTTAACCCTTTAAATTTCGATTGGCAATAATAAATAAGCTTACGTAGCTTCGGAAACATCTGAAAAGAACCTATAAGACTGAGCATCAATTCTCGCCAATTTTGAAAATTCAAGCAAATGGGGATATTCAAAAAGTTTAGATATCTGTGATCAGATCGACACAATACCGTAGAAATATATTTCGTAAGCTCCTTAAAACAACTCTTCCAGATCCAGTCTTACCCTTTAATTGGCCATAACCATAGCTGAAGTAACTCAGATATGTCCGATTAGACCTCCTAAACTGGCCTCCAGCCGACATTTTAAAAATTGAAGCAAATGGAGGTTTTCAAAGGGTGCCAGGATGTCTCTCGACAACATACCGTACAAATTATTTCATACGCCCTAAAATTACTTCTCTATGATCTAAGTACCTTACTTTCAATTGGACATATCTCAACAGCAGAAGTACTTCCTGATACTATCGATTAGAACTTATATAAGACTGGCCTCCAAGCTCCCACATTTTTTCATCAGACTTTATTTGCTAAAAAAGTTAAGATTGATAGAAGGTGGTAGTGAAATTGAAGATGGGTAGGTAGGTAGGTAGGTTTTTTCGGATTAGTGTCACGTGTCACAAAAGGAAACATGCAATCAAACCCTCCTAATGCGTTATTTGAATGCTAATTCTCCGCGTGAAGAGCAGTTCTGGTATCGTGCCATGGTTCTATGTTAAACCCTCCGCTACGTATTGCAGGATTTGACGATTGATTGAATTGTACACTCAAATGCGCGGCGCAAGCATACCATATGAATTATAATGTAATTGATTTGGAATAACAAGCGATTTCCCGGATCTTATAAATGTTTTAAGTAGTTCAAGCTTTTCTTTACCTTGATCAATGATCCTGATGCGTACAAACATACTAACTTCTCGTTTTGTTAGTGAGTACTGGTGAAACCCACAGACTTGGCTCCCGATAATGATATTAGTGAATCCGTTAACAGTTTGACCAAATATGCTGACGATATTAATGTTGAACATGATTGACGAGTGATTGATTTGTTATACGAAAGGGACATAAATGTAATTATGAGTTTACAATACTACTCCGGATTTTTACACGACTACCATTTTAATTTAATAAATCTAACACTTTTGTACACTTTTTAAACAACAATTCCTTCATGTAAGATGGCCTATATCTATATCCTACAAATACGATACTATAGCTATCCCCATGTCTAGTAGATTAGTTAAGTTAGTTAGTTAGGAAGTAAGTTTAGTAAGGTATGTATGTGGAGACGGCCTATCCCCGCAAGCCTCTAGTCGGATCCCTAGTGTTCCCCTACCGAGTACCTAAGTAGGAAGTGGAACATCCCTCACGGATAAGTAACGGACCCCAATTAATCTAGAAGCCTTAGTCCCTAAAACTCCCGCCGATTAATTGCGACCGTTGAACACCCGTAGTGACGAGGCCCAGGTACCGAGTAACCCCCTTTCTATTCCGATCTACATCCCTGTATGAAGACGGCTGCCTACCCAAATACCGGAGGGAACCCTCAACACCAAGGGCCCTGTGTACTTAAGTGATAGATACCACAGATTAACAGCTGACCAATCCCCTAAGAGCTAGGACCACCTCCGAGTAAATTAAGGACAGCAATTCACCTAGACTATAAAGTCGTCTCCACCAATAAGGATAGAAATTCCCAGAACTCTCGAGCATCCCCGTAATTAAGGAATAGCGGCGTGCCGGACGAGTGGAAACCTCGCGGAGGACAGCATTATAAAGACTCATCAGAAGTCGTTTCAGCAGAATTATTTTTTATTTCAAAACATTCTAATTTTGATGTCAAAGATGACAGGGATAAGAAATAGTTAATGTGAGATTTTTAGAAGTTTGACATAACATACGTGCCAGCACTGTAATCACACGGAAATATCGGTGAAAAAATCCAAAAATCGCCATATTCAGGTGCCCTAAAAACCATGTTTAAAATTGGAGTTAAAGATCTGAAACTTTGCTGGGCGTCTAGCCGATACCAAATCGACTGTTAAAAAAATTTCGTTTTCAGGAGTCATCGGAAATGGGTTTTCTAGAACCCAGTTTTACGAACAGTAGTCGGGACATCTATCTATGTATAGGTAACAATAATATATATATATATATCAGGGATAGACGCTTTGCCAATCAATAGATGTGAAATACTTGGTGGGGAGGTGAAACACATTTGTTTATTTTAAATAGATGAGCACAATGTTACGGCAGGTTGAGGAGGATGAAACAACATTTTGTATTATAGAAGGCTTGTAACACATGTAACTCATTCTTGTTACCCCCCTTTGAAGGCCCCCCCCCCCGAATTATTTGCTGAACAACGCGCAAAACATAACCGAGGAAATCGACCTTCTTATTAACTCATTTTGATGACTGTTTCTGACCTAGAATTGCACGAAAAATCGATTAGCTAGGTTTCAGAACCTATAAACACATCCTCATCCCTCAAAATTTGATGTTTTATGGTTGATACGAGCAACAAGCAACATATATTGTTGATCCTTCGGTTCTACTAGTGACCTAGGCATTAAGCTGACCCGACAGATCGAGAGCGAATCCTCACCTTAACTGATCAAACGGGTACTAACACAAATTTTCAGATATAAAATGTTTTCTTTGCGATACGTTTATTGGGGCCAGCTTGGCAACTTGAGTGAAGACCATAGTACGAAAACACACAGCAAGGTAAGCAACTCACTTTTAGTGACTGTATCCTCACGTAACATTCAGATCCTGTAACATATGAACAGGGAGATTCGTCTCTAAACAAATCGAACAAGTAACTATCACAAGATTATTTTCCCAGTGCACAGCTATGATAACAAAGACAAAAGAAACACAATGAAGTAGGTTAAGAACACCACAATATAACAATCATACTAACAACAGAATTAAATTTTTCTGACGACGGGCAGCCCAGAGTGCTCCGTGATCCGCAACGAGCGACCACTTGTAATAGGTGTTAATGTCACGTGACGGCTGATCCGTTCCAATTACAAACAGGACGAGTCCAGCAGATCGATATCGTGTGTTTACTTCCCTTATCTTTATTTGACCCTGCTGTTCACATTGTTTATCTCTACCAACATCTCGTCTTGGCAAGGTCCGCGTGCAATACTCCTGCACCCGGTAAACAAACGCCCATAATTACGTCACGAACTTGAAATAGTGTGGATTGTTGTACTTATATAACCGTGCCCATTGCCCACGTACAATACAAACTGTGGGGGGGGGGGGTTTAAGATAGACAACCGACCTTGATATTGTGTTGGTCGCTCCTCCAACTGACTGGTGATGCAAACACCGTCCATCATGACGGAACATTAACAAATTATTTACGCACTATTTCTATGGGCTGGTGAGACATTTAGTTTTGACATTTTTTCAGCGCTTTTAGACAAATTCTTCATCAACGACCTCTAGACAAATCATAGACGCTTTCTTACATTTTTTGCCCTTTTGGCCCTTTTTTGGCACTTTTGGCGCTTTTTTTTGGACATTTTTTTTGACGCTTTATTGCGCGCTTTTTTGGCAGCTTTTTTTCGGCACTTTTTTGGAGATTTTTGGCGCATTTTGGCACTTTTTGGGCTATACTTATTGACGCTTATTGACGCCTTTTTTTTGAAACTTTTTGACGCTTTTTGAGAACATAATTACATAATCAAATGTAATTACACACTGTACTCTACACTCATATTTGAATACTAATTACAGTGTGCATTTTCTAGTATTCTTATTCGGCAAATTGCAATCAAGTTATATAACTATAGTAATCATGAGCCTCCTCCTCCTTCCTCTCCCTCCTCCCACATCCATCCCAGGGTCCCCCACCTCCTGCCTCCTATCCTCCCATCCTTATCCCCTCCTCCTCTCAGAACCTCCTCCTCCCCCTCAAGGGTCCTCATCCTCCTAGCCTCCCTCCCAGTCCCGTCCTCCTCGCTCCTCATCATCACTCATCTGTCCTCCTCCTGATCCTCCTCCTCATCAGTCCCTTTTCCCTCAGTCCTCCTCAGTCTTCCTCCACCTCCTCAGTTTCTCCTCCACAATCCTCCTCTTAGTCACCTCCTCTTCCCAGTTCTTCTCATAACCTCCTCCTCCTCATCCCCCCACCTCATCCTCACTAGTCCTCCCTCCTCCTCATCATCAGTGCTCCTCCCTCCTCCTTCAAGTAGGGGGACCAAAACGACAAATATGTAAATTAGCATTTAGTTGCTTCCCCTCCTCCGTCCCCCCCCCCCCCATCCTCCTCCTACGTCCTCCTCCTCAGTCCCTCCTCCTCAGTCCGCCTCCTCCTCCTCTCTTCTTATTCCCCTCCTAATCCTCCTCCTTGCTCTCATCAACCTCCTCCTCAGTCCTCCTCCTCTTCCTTAGTCCTCCTCCTCCTCCTTTTCTTCATCAGTCCTCCTCCTCTCTTCCTCATAATCGTCCTCGTCCTCGTTGTCCTCCTCAGTCTTCACGCGCGACCTCTTCCCTCCTAGTCGTCTCAATACGAATAAGATGTATCTGCTGTAAGACAGCAGCTTGTGTAGCCAAAGCCTGTCTTAGACCTAGTTTAAATTTAACCTCGTTTCCCTTTTTTGCAGATGTAGTGCTGCTTCGTGTTAATATTTATTTCAACCGTTAATAGTGGTAAATTTATTTACTTTTGTTATAACTTCCCCTTCCACCTAAAATTAAATGAATGAAAATTCTACCTGTATAATTAACTGGCAATATTTAGCTGGTACCGTACATAATCGTACGTATTTTTTGTCACATTTTTTTAAGGGAGGTGGGCGACAGTGATTTTTTTTAAATGACCAAGGTTCAACTTAAATAAAATAAAAAATTATGTTAATATTCAGTTCATGACTAGTACGAATAAGTTCCTACAATCCCCCCCGCCCCCCCCCCCCCCCAACCGTATTGTCATTGTACATGGCCTGTGGGCACGGTTACATATAACGATCACGATTACACAAATTCCTAGTTTCTGCATGACGTAATCATGGCGTGTGTACTAGCGGTGAAGAAATAGGAGCACCTTGAAATTGCAAGCTGTGGTAGAGAAACTCAATGATGAACAAAGGGTCAAATTACAGATAAGAAAGGTAAACAGAAGATAAAATATCCCGTCTGCTGACTCGTCCTGTATGTAATTGGACGGGATCAGCGTCACGTGACATAACACCTCTATTACAAGTGGTCACCCGTTGAGATCAAGGTAGCAACATCAGGGCTGCCCGTCGTCAAATAAATATTAATTCAGTTGTTAGTATGATTGTTATATTGTGGTGTTTCGGAACCTACCGTCATTGTGGTATCTTTTGACTTTGTTATCATGCTGAGCTCTGGAAATTGAGATAGTAACTGTCGTTTGTTAAGAGAACGAACTCCCTAGTTCATATGTTACAGGATTCAAGAACGTTCGTGAGGAACAGTCACCAAATAAAATGTATGGGATCAGTCTCATCCTCCGACCACTATACATCCGTAAGTGAAAGTCTGTAGCCGTGAATAAGAACCAACCATGAGCAATTGCATGGCTCCGGACACTGATCAGTATTTGAATGGTATTGTGTATCTAATATTTTTCGGAACGCTATCTGTATTTGAGAGACAATTTTATGGATTTATAAAAAAATTTTACCTTTTCCCCCCCTTTAAAATTTTTATTTATTCTTGTTTTTCACACTTCAATATATTCATTATTTGTTTCACACTTCATATTTCATAATTTTATTACTAGGTGAAGGTGACGTGATAGAGACTTTGGGCGGCACATAACCCTCGTGTTTCAAAAGTTGTCCTCTGTACTTGTTTCACTGACCACGCTTTATAGCATTTATACATTTCGCCCATTTTAATATGTTTGTTCGACTGCTGTACATTTGTATATTTGCTATTTTGTAAAAGTGTTCCAAATCAATCAACGTCATCATCCCTACTTGATGACGTCATCAAATTAAGTGTTTGTTAAAACTTGATTTTTGACAAAATTACAACTTTTCAAACTGATTTTAACACCATTAAGGTGTATTTTATTCAAAATTAGAGGGCATATTGAAGTTAGATAATGTTTAAGCATCTGAAAATCTACCGAAAGTTTATCTAGCTTGCTCCTTCATAAAGATATTCGTCATGAAAGTTTGTGCTTTTTAAAGTATTATTTTATAAAAACGTCCAATTTTGCGATTAAAACTTATTTTTGACAAAATAACAACTTCCAAACTGGATATTTAACACCATTAAGGAGTAATATTATCAAAATTTGAGGGCATAATGAAAGTTAGATAATTGTTAAGAATTCGGAAATCACCGGAAAGTTTTTATACTTGCTCCTTCATAAAGATTTCGTCATTGAAGTTTGTCTTTTTTATGGGGGGCCTTTTTTTTTTAATTGAAGAATTATTTTATTAAAACGTAATTTTGCGATTAGTTTTCTCTGTGGTTGGGCCATGCCCATGAGTTGTGGAAGCTCAGTTCTGAAAAATTGCTAAATCACTGAAAATTGCTTGTTTCCGTCATTTTCTAGTCGACTTTGAGTGCCGTTATGATTACAGTTCTTCTTGAAATACTTTGAAACTTTGCAGGCTTATCAAACTATAATATAAAACAAATACAATGAAAAAATTTACGGCATTCAGTATAAGATGCCCACGCAACGTCCGCTCAAAGTTTGCACGTGCAAGGTGAGAATTTTTGCTCATTCGGTGATATTCCAACAAATTCTGCTTTGCCAACGACAGATTAATGTCATTATATATGAATTAAATGCCAACTTGAATGAGTATGAAGTGGCATCTTCAGTCAGAGATCGACCGATAAGCTTTACCTCAACACAGGAAATTTTTTAAAGGAAAATTTCGAATCGTTGAAACTTCCTCCTTATTAAATGAAGATCTCAGTTTAATATTTCAACTTTGTCTATATAAAGTACCCTGACATTTATAATCAAAAAGAGATGAATATATGACCAAACCCATAATCATGGTGTAGTAGAGGCTCTTACGGGCAAAAAGACGTGTTTACTGCTACGATTTTTAGAGAGAACCTACGCTGAATTGGACACAATAGTATGTGTCTAAGGATCGATTAATATGTTTAAGAAAGTATTAAATTTGGCCATATAGTCACGTGCTATACCAATGCGCGTTTTTAAACTTTGACTGTCGATTACTCTAAGGCAAATAGAGTAATTCTATTCATATTTTTGTCAGCAATAAGACACATATTTTTCTAATTAGGTGTGAATAGAGCTAAACGGACATAATCTCGCTGAGTTATAGCGTTTGAAATATATGATGAACGCGCGTGCCAATTGATATACAACTAAAGTGCTTTTGCGCGTAGTGCGCGTCGAAATTTGCAATAAAACGCTTGCGGAGTGACAATAATCAACTTCGATAAATTATAAGAAGTGGGGTAGGGTTCTCCGGAAAGGATAATTTAGGCAACCCCGATGTGACTATTTTGTTGGGTTGATTTAAAACAACTGCAAAAAAATTATTCAAACTTCACGGCAAAAAACGTCAAAATTTAACCACTTTTTTGGATTTTAACTTACCTCCCCCTCCCCATTTAGTTGTTACTCCCGCCCTGTAAGTCACTTTAAATTTAAACACAGTGTAGAAATTACATTATTACGCTCCCCCTCCCCATTTAGTTGTTACTCCCGCCCTGTAAGTCACTTTAAATTTAAACACAGTGTAGAAATTACATTATTACGCTCCCCTTCCCCATTTAGTTGTTATTCCTGCCCTGTAAGTCACTTTAAATTTAAACACAGTGTAGAAATTACATTATTACGCTCCCCCTCCCTATTTAGTTGTTACTCCTGCCCTGTAAGTCACATTAAATTTAAACACAGTGTAGAAATTACATTATTACGCTCCCCTCCCCATTTAGTTGTTACTCCCGCCCTGTAAGTCACTTTAAATTTAAACACAGTGTAGAAATTACATTATTACGCTCTCCCTCCCATCTAGTTGTTACTCCTGTCCTGTAAGTCACTTTAAATTCAAACACATTGTAGAAATTACATTATTACGCTCCCCCCCCTCCCCCCCCCCCCATTTAGTTGTTACTCCTGCCCTGTAAGTCACTTTAAATTTAAACACAGTGTAGAAATTACATTATTACGCTCCCCCTCCCTATTTAGTTGTTACTCCTGCCCTGTAAGTATCCTTAAATTCAAACATAGTGTAGAAATTACATCATTACGCTTCCCCCCCCCCCCCCCCCATTTAGTTGTTACTCCTGCCCTGTAAGTCACTTTAAATTCAAACACATTGTAGAAATTACATTATTACGCTCCCCCCTCCCCCCCCCCCCC